AGCAAACGGCGGCGCGGCTGCGAGAGCAGCAACAGCAGCAGCAGCATTATCAGGCGCTGGGATCCACGACGCCCACGCCATCCTCGCCGCCGCCGCCGCCCCGTGCGCCAAGCGGGGGGTACGGCTCGTCTTCGGCGTCGCGCGACTGGCTCCCGCGCATCGAGACGGGCCCTTTGCTGGCGGGAGGCAGCAGCAGCAGCAGCAGCGGTGGCGGCGGCGGCGGCGGGATGTCGTCGTCTGCGGCGCAGTTCTACCCGCGTCCGCGGTCAGACGACACGAGCAGCATCTACACTGAGGTCCTGCACGATCCCGAGGTGCTGGCGGGCAAGAAGCGCGCGCCGCCCTCGATCTTTTCGGCGTCATCGACGCTACCCCCCGGAGCCGGCACGTACGGCAGCCCGTACACGTCGCGACCCTCGAGCGTCGTCTACCCCATCGACCCGGCATCGGCGTCGTCGACGAGGTGGAAGGCGCCACCCGCCCCGCTGCGGCGAGACGATCCGGGCCTGTGGAGACCGAGGTACGCCTGGGTCGATGAAGATGACGTCGACGTCGACGTCGAGGAGGCCGCACGGACCGCCAAGCCCCCGCCGCCGCTGCCGCCCAAGATTCCGCTCAGCCGGAACGCGTCCAGTGTCGCTTGAGGCGAGGTGTCACCTCGTCGGCGGAGTCTCGCTCACGGACGAAGGGACGGACGGACGGATGGACGCACGCACGCACCCACGCACCCACGATGGATGGATGAGACGGGACGGGACGGGACGGGATGGAGAGGGAAGGACGACGAGGCCGTCTCGATCTCCTCGCCACCTCGAGTCGCCGAGTCGAGTCGGGTCGGGCCGAGTCGAGCCCCACGTGCCGGCCGGTACCTGAACGCCAACGGGCGACGGGCGACGGGCGACGGGCGACGGGCACGAGCCCGAGCGACGACGGCGTCGGGACCGTGCTGGCCATTTTCGACGCCTCATCCGCCGTCACTCGTCTGGTCGTCAAGAGTCGAGCTGGGGAAGGAGGACGGAGGGTAGTGTCTTTCGTTGCTGGTTGGATGACAAGGGAGCCTCTCGGGCTGGGGCTGCGTGCGACTGCGCGCTGCGCTGGGTGGATGCGACGCGCGACGGCCTGGCCTAGCGAGGACAATGCGACGACCACTGGCTCTTCTCTTCTACATGGACGCCCGCCTGCCCTCCCCTCCCCTCCCCCCCGTGGAAGCTCGACGACGACGACGACGACGGTAGAGAGGAAGGGTGAGTAGGGACAGGCAGAGCAGCGGCATGCGCCAGATCGGGTTTCACTTTGCCGACGCCGCCTCATCCGCCGCCGCAGCCTGGTGGTCGTCTGTTGCCTTTTCCTCGTTTTCCTCTCCCGCCTCGTCGTCGTCCTCTCGCTCCTCGCCACCCTCGTCTGCCTCCTCCTCCTCGCCCTCCTCACCTTCCTCGTCCTCGTCGTCCTCATCATAGAAACCCTTGAGGGCGCGTTCGGCCTCCTTGTACTGCACCTTGACCTCTTGGAGGGTGTGGGTGATTTTCTGCATGGCCACCTCCTCCGAGAGGTCCGATACGCCGTCCTCGTCGTGCCGCTTGCCATAGTGCTGCATGCACTCGCAGCTATCCCGCACCTTGATGACGCCCACGGCGGCCGAGCTGCCCTTGAGGAAGTGGCCCAGCGTCGACAGCTCCGGCAGGTCTTTGCTCGCTCTGCCGTCGTCGTCCCCGGCGTAGCATGGCATCGGGTGCACGTGCGTCCACCAGGCCGCCGGGGGGGGGTGGGGGGGGGGGGGGGAACAGCGGGTGTGGTCAGTCGATCGCGTCCTTCCCTGGGCCGGCACTGCCCGCCCCCGGCGTCCCGCCCTCGTTCAAGGTCAGACCGGTGAGCGCACGCCGGACCCACTCACAGCGCGCTGTCCATTTTCTGAAACGTGTTTTCGGCCTGGTCAAAGTAGTTCCAGACGATGCTCTTGCTAAACTCGCGGTCCTCTTCGTCGTCCATCTCGAGCAGCTGGCTAAAGATGTCCATGTCGATAATCTCGGGAGACAGGTCGCCCAGGCCGCTGGCTCCGTCGCCCTGCAAGTAGGGAAGAAAGGAGGGGCGGGGGGGAGCGTGGACAGGTGAGAGAGGGAGGTGAAGGGGCGGTCAGCGACGTGGTTTGGCGGGGGCATCTTTGGCTGACGGTTCTGATCGACCTTTGGGCAGGCAGGTAGGCAGGCAGGCAGGCAGGCAGGCAGGCAGGCAGGCATTGCGAGACGATCGGCGGGACGCCGAGCTTGTCGCCGGGCGACAGAGATAGCGCTCGCCCATCGGGGTCGTACGTTGCCGCCAGCGACCGCCGATCGACCGAGGAGCGCCGAGGCGACTTACGTATTCGTCAACTTTTGACGCCATTCTGGAGCGGTGTGAGTGCGGGGGATGGCGCGGGTTCGATTGAAGGGGTCGGGGGAGGAACGGCGGTCTGGACGTCGCTAGGGGACGGGTGCGGCAGGGAGTCTGGGGGGCGGTAGAGACGTCGAAGGTGCTGTGGTCGGTCCGCTTCAAGAGCAGCGGAGGGGGGTGGTGTCACGACAGAGGTGCGGAAGCGGTGAGCGGCGTAGCGTGGCTGGCTGGCTGGCGCCGGTGCGGGCGAGGTATCCGGACAGAGAGACGAGGGGTCTTGCAGATGGCCGGGAAGGAGGACGAGGGAGGGAGAGATGCGCGGGACGAGGGGCTGCGTTCAGAGGAGCGAGGACGACGACGACGGAATGGGACCGGAACGAGGGTGCGTGTGTGCTGTGTTGCTGTGAGGAGATGCGAGAGGAGGCCGATACGTCCTTCGCCTTGTGCTGGGGAGGTGGCGCTGGTGGTGGTGGTGGTGGTGGTGGCGACGGCGACGGTTGGTGGTGATGACGACGACGACGACCGGCCCATCTCTCCAGGGCCTCTGGGCCTGTCTTGGTCTCGAGCGTCGGCAGGAGATTTTTGTTTTGCCTGGGCCCCGCCCGCGCCCAACCCAACGCAGCCCCAGCCAACGACGGCGGTGTGGGCCCAGGCGCGCGACGCTCAGGCTGCGTCTGGACTGGCCTCAGGCCTGCTGGACAGCCTGCGCTGCGCTGCGTCGTGCGTGCGTGTGCGCCGTCCATCCTCTTCGCGCGGCCAGGCCACCTGGCCCCTGCCTATCTTGCCTGCCTGCCCGCCCTCTAAGCCTGCCTGCCTGGATTCCCCTGGCACCGCGCAGCTCAGACCCGACCAGGCACGCCCAGGCCAGGCAGGGCAGAGCAGGGCTCGCGTCTTTTTCCTCTGAATTTCGCGTCCCTTTTCCCTCTCTCCTCGCCCACTCACCCTCCCTCCCCACCCTCTCCGCCAGCCAGGCCAGGCCAGGCCAGGCCACGCCATGCCAGACCTGGCCCCGTCGTTGATCCAAGAGGAAGATCGTGCACCGCCTGGCCCGCCGTCACCAACCGCCAGCCACCACTGCGCGTCATACTCGCCCCCGTCTTTTGCTCGCCGTGCGTTCTGTCTGGCCTGGCCTGGCCTGGCGCGCCTGGGCAGTTGATCATCTTGAGGGTGCGGTCGCGTGGCAGGTCCAGCTTCGGTCGAGGTCGTATCGTCCACCGACCTCGCCGCTCGCGCTCGGCCACCCGCCCGCCCGCTTGCTTGCCCTAGTTACCGGCCTGCCTGTCCACCAGCCCTGCCCACCTGCCTGCCACGCCGCATGAGGCCATGATCGTCTGCTCCTTGTGCCCCCCCTCGCACTGCGGTACAAACGAGGCTCGCTTCGAGGGAGGACCCAGGACCCAACGGCCGGGTGAGCGCAGGGGTCGAGCGGGAGCAAGCGGGGAGAACACGCACGCCAACGACACGACGACACCGGTCCTGCCTCTCCGACCCTGCCCCAACCACTCGGTCCTAGGTACAATCTCTGCCTGCCATCTTTGAGCCTTCGTACGTCCTTTTGCCCCGTGGAATGGCTCGCCACGCCGCCCCCCGCCTGCCGCTGTCTAGTTCGCCTCCCCGCTCGCCCGTCGTCGTCGGCGGCATCAGCGAGCGAGCGAGCGGCGCTTCTAGGTGCCACGCGCGACCGGGCCACGTCGACGACGACGACGACCGATCGACGGCCTTGCTTGTCAATCTCGTCTCGGTCGGCCTTTCACCCCGGTACTCCGCTCCGCTCCGATCCCACCACCAATCTACATACCGGTGACAACCGCGCAGCGGCGTCGAGTTGGTCCGCGGCCCGGCTCCCTCCCGCTCGCTACCACTTCCTCTCACTCGGCACTCGCCAATCCTCAGACCTGCTGCGCCCATCGTCGGCTCATCCGTCCGTCCGCCTTGACCCAGCTCGCTCTCGACGCGCCGCGCCCACACCATGTCGTCCCAACGGGCCAGGCCACCCAGCGAGGCTCATCCACCGCAACTCTTGCGCACCCACCGACAGCCTCCCACCACACAGCCAACCGAAGCCCACCAACAGCACAAGCAGCGCACAGCGGCAAAAGACTTTCATTAGTGGTTGCTGATTCGGATTTCCCTCGGCGGGCACGCACGGGGCGGGGCAGATTGGGGGCTCGCACACGACCGACCGACCGACCGAAGCAAGGAACAATCGGACGCCTCGCCGGCCTCGTCCGCCGGCTCGCTCGCCCGAAAACCTCCCGACCTCGTGCGGGCGCGCACTCTCTACAGCTTGGCAGGTGGGGCCGGGCGATCGCCTTAGGCCTCAAAGGTGACCGAGGCGCCGAGCTTGTGGGCGCTGGCCGAGGCCTGCGAGTCGCTGAGCTTGCCCGTGTCGAGGGCGAGGCCGAACGACGACTTGACGCCGGGTCGCAGCGCCTGGGTGTAGCCGAGGCAGAGGATGCCGGCGTTGTTGATCTTGGCCTTGACAAAGGCGGCGTTGTCGAGGTAGGTCTTGGTGCCGACCTCGAGGTTGACGTTCGAGTTGGGGCTCTTGGAGTCGTACGTGGCACGCGCGCCGGCCTCGGTGTCGGCGTTGACGCGGTGGTAGTAGCTGGCCGAGTAGGTGCTCAGGTTGCCCAGGCCGTGGAGGGTGACGGCGTAGTCGGGGGCGTGGAAGCCGGCGGCCAGGTTGTAGCGGCTCAGCTTGCCCTCGCGGACGTCGTACGAGGCCTCGGCACCGGCAAGGAAGCCGTCACGGCCGAGGACGGCGTCGGCGGTGAAGGTGGGGCCCTGCGTGATGAGATGATGAGATGAGGGAGGGAGACAGGGGCGAGCATGGGATGGATGAGACGAGGCGGGGGTGGTATCGAGCGTCAGCAGGGGCAGATCCGGAGACGGTGGCTACGGCAAGCGCCCGCGCCCGCGCGCGCTCAGGCGGCCAAACTCACCTTGAAGAGGTCGAGGTGCTGGCGAGTGTGCAGGCCGGGCTGCTTGTAGGTCGAGGCGAAGAGGGCGTTCTTGGCCTGCTTCTCGGGGACGAGGGTCGAGACAAGCTCGAGCTTGAGGCCCTTGGCGATGTGGTTCTCGAGCTCAATGTGGTTCCTGAGGACGTTGGCGGTGGACCAGGCCTGGGTGAAGGTGACGCCGTTCTTCCTGTCCTCCCACTTGGCCTCGAGGTCGCCGTTGATGGCCTGGGTCTTGTTGTCGCGCAGGCCGAGGACGCGGAACGTGACACCGTTGGGCGTCTTGGTCTTGACCTCGAGCGAGCTGCCGTGGATGGGGTAGTCCTTGGACAGAAGGTCGTTGGCGGCCTTGCCTGCGAGGTGGGGAGAGAGGCAGCAGCAGATTGCAGAGGCGGTGGTCGGGCGGTCAGCCAAGTCAGTCTCCCGCAGTCGATCGGACCGATCGCCAAGCTAGTCCGAGCGGTGCGTTGCGCGCCGCATCGAAAGGGCTGGCGACACGTACCAAGGTCCTTCCAGGACGGGGGGACGGGCTGGGAGATGGGGGTAGCCATTGTTCTGATTCGCAAAGGGGAGACCAAGAGGGAGAGGGAGGCGTCGGGTCCGAAGACGAGAGGCAAGAGGAAGCCGGCTGGCTGGCTGTCAGAAGACCGGCCGCGGGCAAGAAGCAAGGAGCGGCGCGTCCAAAGTTTCCAGGGTCGAGGTAGAGCCCAACTCACAAGTTGTAGGAAATGGGGAGCTGGGCAGCGGGAGGAAGCTTAAGGCAAGGGCGAAGAGGGAGCTGATGGTGATGGTGGTGGTGGCGGTGGTGAGAAGGACGGAACGGGCGGCGCACAAACCGGGGGGGCCGACGGGCGGACGGGCGGGCGAGCGAGCGGTCGCAGCGGCGATCGCGTTGGGTTGGATGTTGCCCTCCTCCCTCGCCCTCGTTCCGGCCTTGGCCCTGGCCTGGCCTAGCCAGCCCAGCCCCAACCAAGCAACCAACCCTGGCGAAGCTGGCCTCGCACGCACCCGCCG